GATTCGCGTGGCTCCCTCGCTGGGCATTTTTAAGAAACAATTAAAAACACTGATGTATAGGCAGGCCTTCCCAACAGATAACCCCTGACGAATTTTCCTCTTCATATTTTCTTTGATTTTTATTTTGTCTAGCCATAATGTTTTTAAAATTTACTGTTGTCTTTGATTGTAAGCCGCCTAGAGTGGTCTAATATGACCAGATAGGCGGGATAGAAATAAAATAAATAAATAAATAAATAAATACATCGGCAGCACAATCTGCTTTGCTAATAAGTCTAGAATTTTGAAGACTCATGAGACCCATTCACTTGATGTCTTGGCCCATTGGCAAACAGACTCCCTTTCATTTTTTATTTGTGCACGTACACCCACTTATTTACAGACTTAAAAATCTCTGTGCATCCCTCTTCTGCTAACCGCAGCTGCAAGGTGATGAATCAATCCTTCAAACCAGCGTACAAAAATAGAACAGAAGCAAAAGGTGGCTCAACAATAGATTGAAACGATCTCAAAAGCCGATTTTAAAAACCAGAAGCCTTTCCAAACACGGTCCTCTGGGTTGCCCACCCGAGGCGCAACAAGGACGCGGCCCGCATGGCTCCCCTTGGGGTGGAGACCCACACTTAAAAGGATGGCCATGCAGAAAAAGTCCCATGTTTTGTGGACTCGGCTTTTCAAAGGGGCTGAGGTACGCATCCGTGGGCATGCTCTGCTGAAGAACTTAAAAGCCTGGGCAGGTTTTTACAGGAGGAAAATTATTCCCCCCCCCCAATCTCCTTTCCTCCACGCCACTTCAGAGTTTTCTCCTCAGAGATCCTGGGTGACCCCCCAACTTGGTAGAAAGCAAGTGCCACGTAGACAGAGGGGGGCTTCACAAAAGGGCAGTCTCTGGCTGACTAATAGCAAGACGTGGTTCTTACACACCATATCACCCTGAATTTTCAGATTCCATATGGTTCTGAAAGCTAGATCAGGATCAGGCCTCATCAGAACTTAGATGAGAGACCACACTAAGGAGTTCCAGGTGGAGCTAGGAGACAATCCTGCTTGAAAGCCAGTTTAGCAGCTGACGGGAGCCTCGTGGTATCGAGTGGTTACACTGCAGTCCTGCAGTCAAGCCTCTGCTCGCAACCTGAGTCCGATCCCTACAGGCTGACTCCGCCCTTCCCATCCTTCCGAGGCTGGTAAATCGGGTGCCCAACTCACCGTGGGAGCAACGTGTCACGGCATGCTTAAATTGCAGACCGCTCAGAGACTGCTTTAAGCACCATGGCGTGGTCCATAAGCAGCAGCAGCACCCCTTTTGTGAAATGTGTGACTGAGAAAACTCAGTCGGGAGCTGAGATAGAGAGGACCGAATGTCGGGAGGTGCTATGGGGTGCTAAGGGGGCAGAGCAGACCCGAATATCATTTCAGGTAACTGGAGCCCTGGCACAAAAGCAGGCCATGTAGAGAAAGGTAACCATTCCTACCAAGATCACACACTGGGAATGGAATAAATCTTTTCATCCCTTTAACTTTGAAGCCTTTTTGGTTGATTTCAGTAACGGGATTAGGGCAGCATTAAGAGCGATTAGCCACCGCAAGGGATAGACTTAACCAAAGGGAAGGCTCGCCTGCCAAGTGCTACGAACCCGGGCATGAGGATGAAAACAGAACCGCACAGCTGGCCACTATTGGGGTGCCGCCCTATTGAAAGCCTTCCATGAGCGGTGAATTTTGATCAATTAAATAGGCAGAGGTTGGCACAGGAACCAAATCAGCCCCTCTGGGAGGACCCACGGGCTCTGCTCTCCATGCTCAACGTTTATGGTGACCCTTTCCCCTGGCACGGATGACTGACTCTATAATGAATGGTCAAAGGGGAACCGAGGATCAGAAGGATGACAGGAAGGGGGGGGGCTGTGGCGTGGACAAAACCGCATCAGACGGAGGGGCCAGTACGGAACCGAAGCAACCCACCGTCTCCATAGGATCACCGAATCAGGACAGAAGTGTAGCGTAGGCTGCCAAGCAAGCCGCATCAAAGCTGAATTGTGCCGATTCAGTTTTCCAGTGTACAGCAGTTGTGGCCTCCTTTCCACTTTTTTTGGCCCAATATTCCAGCATGGATCCCAAGACCCTCATCCCATATGACTCCATATTATTTGCAGCAGAAAAAGGGAACCCTGTGTTCTCTGCAGATTGGCCAAGTATTTTTTTAAATAATAATAATAATTACCTTATTTAAAGAGTTAAGTGACACCTGCTTTATAAGTTCCCCGTATGGTCAACAAGAAGCCTCCCTTTTAACCCATCCTTAAAAGAATCCTCCTAATGCAATCACATCAACAAAACCATCCGTTAGCCCTGCAGCCTCCATTTGATCGTTGCTCATCTTGGATACTGCTTCTCTCTCTCTATAAAATGATGGATGTTACCATTAAAACAAATACGAATTTGTAAGGAATAGTTATCATACAATCCTACAGTAGGACTACTGCAGAACTCTCAGACTAGAGGACTGTTTTATTTTGCTTACCTACCTTTCAAAAACTGAATTCGCTGTAAGTCATCCTGCCCGATTCCCTGTCCACAGATGCCTCGTTTACCTCTTTCCTTAACCGAGCCATCAAGGCATGACTTTTCCTAGCAGAAAACAAAGTCCAGCTGCTCTTCCTTCTCGTTCTCCTTTTTCATTCTCCAGAAACTCATCCCTCCAGCTTTTCGGCAACAACTGTACCCAGAAGACGAAGCCCAGAAAACAGGTGGCAGACGGGCCAGCAATCCAGGAGCGCACCTGCATCTGGGAGAATATTTCAGCCCTTGGAGGAGTCACAGCTACAACCTTCAGGTGCAAACAAACTTCAAGGCTTCTGGATTGAAACTTTTTTTCGCAGCACACCCTCCCACTGGCTTGGCTTTCAACCACAAATTTTCTTGCCCAGCCTCCCTCCAGTGCCAAGTACACAAGAACACAACGGTCACTGCCCAAAGGCGTCCGGGTTTCGTAACAGAGGCAACAAAGGAGCTTGTGATGAAGGCTGGAGGAAACCGAGGCGGGTTCACGTCGGGTGTTCGTCAGCCTCTCCAAGGGTCTACAGGGATGTCATCCAGCTCTGGGCCACAGCCTTGGGTGCGCTTGAGAGCCACTGAGAAAAAGGCGCTTCTCCACTCCAAAAGCGTGAAGCGTCTGACCAGAAACTCCTGACAGGGCTTTCCAAAACTGTCATCGGAAGCGAGCTGGAGCAAAGGAAATGCACAAGCCGCAAATCCATCTTTCGCTCTGCAAAGGCTCAGGGGATCCCAGGGAGGGGATCTGGGGCATTCAAAGCAAAAGGCGCAACTGGACCAGCGTGGATTGCACACTAAAAGTTTTGAGTTGGGGTAAGGGAGGGCCCTGTGCGAAAAACCTGAGAGTTTTTTAATATGTTCTCTCCCCCTACACTGTTTTGGAAAATACAAAGTCTTTTCCAACTTTTTTTACGCCATAAAATGGGGTGCAAGTTCCCAATCCTCAAAACAAAACTGCAAAAGGGTGTGCTTTAACATCTTCCAAAAAAAGTGAGATAAAAGAAAGTACTTCTGCAAAAGGGAAGGATGGGTGGGTGAATGAGTGGAAACTCGCCCTCCAGGACCATCTGAAGTTGCCGATCCCCATTCCCCCCCCCCTCATCTTTTATGCCATGTACTTGCTGGTGCATTCTATGGTATTTGCAACAGTGGATAGGAGGTAGATTACCTTAAACCTAAGCTGGTGCCCTCTAGGTCTCTTGGATTACAACTCCCATCACACCCCCACCCAGTTCCACTGGGCTGCTTGTGAGGATCCAGACGTTGCAATTAAAAAAACCAATAACAATAGTAACGGGGACAGGCAGGAGAATGAGAAATCGTTCCCCTTCGCTTGGCTTCCTCGGGATAAATTCCTGGAGAGTAAGTCTGTCTGTCTAACCCTTTCGGTCTGGCCTAGCGCAGCCCTTCTGATGTTCTCAGAATGGAAAGAGAACCAGCAGCACCCCTGTGTTTATTCAGAGAGAGGACCAGCCATCGACCGTGGTGGGGATTGACCGACTGGCAGCCTCTGCCGTAGCTGGGTATTCCACACAGACCACGAGAGCGACTAAAAAAAGGCACACAGATACAACCAGAGGAAAACTATACTCTCCAAATACAATGGAAGAGATCAGAAGAGCAATTAACACCAAAAGCACCTTTTATGAACTGGCTGCAGAGCCCCAGAGGGTTGGGAGTTTGATTCCCCACTGGGCCTCCCGGGGGGAAGAACCAGCCTAGGTGGCCTTGGGCCAGCTGCGCGGAAGTCCCAGGGATGGACCTAGCAGGGTTACAGGGGCTGCTTTAGTGGAAATCTTCAAATCCAGATAGCTTTGCGCCTGGGTGGCCTTGGGCCAGCTGCGCAGAAGTCCCAGGGAATGGACCTAGCAGGGTTACAGGGACTGCTTTGGTGGAAATCTTCAAATCCAGATAGCTTTCTATGAACTTCAAAACTGCTTATAGGAAAAACAAAACAAAGCAGAAGAACTTGGTTTTTTTTAAAAAAAAACACCACAATTTCTTCTGATTTGTTTTGCTTTTCCTATAAGCAGTTTTGAAGTTCATGAGCCACTTCCAGCATTTAGCTTTCCTCCTCCTTTATGAAAGCTATCACGACCACTGATGGGCATTTAGTCACTCAATGCTTTGCTTCTATCCAGTTTTTATTGATTTTGGTTTTACTGCACAGTACTTTGTGGCTTCATTTACTGTAATAAGTCATCTTGCAACTATTGTATACTAAAGAAAGCCCATCAGTATTATTATAAAGGAAATAGCAAACGCACAGATCACCCAAGAAAAACCACTTGTAAACACATGCATGCGTGGGCGTGCGCACCCCATTTCCAACTGCGAGCCAACTCTTTCCTTGGTCTAGCTGCCTCTCCTCTCCTCCCCAAACCATGCCCTGCGCCGCTGTTTACCTCTTAGAACCCGTCTCTCCTTAGCTTCCACCGGGATCCCAAAGTAAAGATATGGAGCCCCCAAGGGGTACGGTCTACTCATCGGCGGCTTATTCCCTGGTCCCGAGTCACTCCGTGACCGAAGGGTTCAAAGTTGGAGGAGGTCCCCAACAGCACTCTAAAGTCAGAAGACCTTAAAATGAAGACCAGGGGACGTTGTTGGCTCACTGGGGGTGCAGATTTGCCTCCCCCCAGGTACCACAAATCTGTATCTTTGTGGGTCATGTCGTTTTTAAATGAAAAAAAAAACACCACAATATTAGCTTGCAAAGTGTCAAGACCTAAATGTCTGTTGTTATCGCTGCACCATTCATAAAGCAACACCATGCAAGGGAAAGTTCTGGAAGCTGACCCCCTTTTTAAAACTCCAGTTATCCATTTCTCACCCAAACAGAGAGCAATGGTCAGGGCTGTGTTTCAACGGGTGTGAACGGTTATGAGTCGAAGAGGGCATCCTGTAGACCAGGGGTCTCCAACCTTGGGCCTCCAGATGTTCTTGGACTACAACTCCCAGAAGCTTTCACCACCACTTCTGCTAGCCAGGATTTCTGGGAGTTGAAGTCCCAAGATCATCTGGAGGACCAAGGTTCGGGACCACTGCTGTAGACCCTCTCGAATGCGGCCATGGGTGTTGTCAACGTTCAGACTGCCCTTTGCTCGGTCAAGCTTGGCCTCCCTTTTTCCTGCTGGCAAATGCGAGCACGATATTGGGGCAGCCATATTGGGCCGTTTCCTGGCATTCTGAATTGTGGATTCAGAAGCGCAATATCCCACATTCATAATCACAAGGTTTTTTTCCAAAGAGAATTAAATTAGGATAACTCATTGAGGAGTGTTAGAATGAAACATGACTTTGCACCGTTTTGCGAGGTGCGAAGTAACCAGCAACCTGATCTGGCCGATTTTTCCTCCGCTTTAGGAACACCTCTCATCATCGAGATGGATTTATGGGTAATAGAAAGTAAGCCCGTTTGTCTCAAGATTTAGAGCCCATTGGTCGTTCTGTGCCTTCAGTTCAGGACTGACTCACAGGGACCCTAACGGGGCTTTCCAAGTAAGTTTTACTGGTTCCACGGTTCCCCCAGAGAGTTTCAGTGGCCGAACAGGGATTCGAACCCAGGACCACCTCCTGAGTTCTAGTCGGTCGCTCTATCCACGACACCACACTGGGAGCCCATGCCCACAGATGATTTTGTTGTAATGGGTTTTTCTGTTCCGGCCCCAGGAGACACTGCCTCTGTGCATACACAGAGTGTCCCTTTCTCATGACCACGGCAGAGTGCCAACATCCACATGGTGACAAACAGCCGATTCACCTAGCATTGCAATTGTGCTGTAAACACCGCCTTACTTAAGGTCCCTGTGCCACAGCCGTTCTGTTTCCAAGCCTGTGACTTCTCCCTACTGAAAAGCCAAAGTTAAAAATAAGACGGGCTGTTATCGTTCCACTCGGCCGAGGCAGAGGGCTTCTCACTTTCCCGACGGCTGCCAAGCGGGTCGGTTGAGCTGCAAAGGTTTGGCAGCTTCCCAAACAGGCCGGCAGTCGATAAACTTCAATCAGGTGTCTGGTGGCTTTAAACAAAAGCAGCCGAAGGCTGTCCAAGGAGCTCCCAAGGCCTCACTTTCAGGGCCGGAGGTTCTCCGGGTTAAGGAGGCCAAGGGCCGCGCGTGTCCATAGCTTTGCCTTCAGACTTCTTCCGGCAAGAGGGCTTGGGTTTTGCAAAATTTTGAGTATTTTAGTAAGAGCGAAGGAAGGAGTTGATGATGGATAGATGGAAGGAAGGAAGCAGCTCATGATGAATGGAAGGAAGGAGATGATGATGGATAGATGGAAGGAAGGAGCTCATAATGAATGGAAGGAAGGAGCTCATGGTGGGAGGGAGAGAGGGTATTAAAAATCGGCAACACAGCCGGCAGTGGTCCTCACCCTTGATTCTTCTGGAACTTGTCTTCTGAACCTTGGGTTACCCAGGTGTTCTTGAACTGCAACTCCCAGAAGCCTTCACCATCAACTGCGTTGGCTGGGGTTTCTGGGGATTAAAGTCCAAGAACATCCAGGTTACCCAAGGTTGGGAAACACTGTTCTAGACGTTTTGTCTTGGCCATTGATAGACTATCCCACAGATTGCAGAGCAAAGTGCAAGAAGAAGTGTTTTAAAAGAATTGGGAAAATGGAGCACGGACTTCTCCAGCCTCGTCAGGCGGGCCGAAAGAGTCAAAATTTGGCCGACGGGTGAAATGAAGACCACCAACCACGGTGGCCATTGGGACCCCATTCCTATTCTGGGTTGCAACCGACAGACACCTTAAAGGGTTGGTCGATGACGGTGATGGCTCCTTAGTTGAACACGAAAGCATCTGGAGGAGCAAAAGCTGAGAAGCCTTGTTGCGGTGAAAGTTGGCTAGGGCGGTTCCTGTGACCTGCTCCGTTTAGAGCTGAAGCACAGGTCTTGATAAAGGAAAAGCAAGAAAACACCACCAACAACAAGCAAAACAAAATAACCACAAGAGAAGGGAGGGTTTATGGACATAAACCTTGCAGCTAGAAAGTTCTCCACTCAGTTTATATATTAAAGGATTTTCCAGAAGTTCTGGATGGGAAAGATCTCTAAAAATCAGAGAGATGTTAACTCTAGCGTTGGGAAAAGCCTTTCCTTCGGTCCCGCCACCCTCCCAGGCATGCTTGGTGGGGACACAGGCAAGGGCTTTCTCTGGGGCTGCTCCCAGGCTCTGGAACTCCCTCCCACTGGAGGCTCTCCTTCCGCATTCAGCCAAATAGACCTTTCTTTTCAGACAGGCTTGGCTGAGGGCTGGGATTTGTCTCTGAGCCTAATAGGCTGAACAAGGAGATTTTTAAAAGGGAGCATGTTATTCTGTTTTTTACTTGCGTTTTTAATATCGTTCTTGTTAAAGAGTTTGAATATATTGGTTTATTTCTTTTTAAATATTGCAAAAAAAATTCTGTTTGGCTTTTAGCTTTCTTTCTTTTAAATACTGTACTCTAAGCTGCCTTGGATCCTTTGGGCCCAAGGCAGCAAATGCATGCATGCATGAACGAATGAATAAATAAATAGTAGCTTTTCCAATTTATTCTTACTAAGATGGAGGGGCACAGGATAAGTCAGGAGTTTAAAAAAAATACCGACTGAGGTCAGGTCTGAGGTGTATGCAGAACTTTCAGCCAATTAAAACCATGGGAGAATTTCGAGATCCAGTAAGTTAAGTGCAGGTAGAAGCACATGTTATATTTTTCAGATTGGCAAAACAGTGAAGGACTTGGCCCCTGGCTTCCCACAAGGTACCATTTGACCCCACATATGCCAACATGGTTGATATTGGTTTATTTCTTTTTAAATATTGCAATTTTTTTCTGTTTGGTTTTTAGCTTTGTTTCTTTTAAATACTCTAAGCTGCCTTGGATCCTTCAGGCCCAAGGCAGCAAATGCATGCCTGAATGAACAAATGAATAAATAAATAGTAGCTTTTCCAATTTATTCTTAATAAGATGGGGGGGGGGGCACAG